ATAAAAGGAGTTATATATATATATATATATAATTAAGGTTTCATTCTATCTTTATTGCTCCATTTGATATATTTGTTTTTTATTTAATATTTTTTTTACCAAAAACACATTTAATCATATTCATTAAATCATACTTTAAATCCACACTTTACTACTAAAATGTAACTGAAAATTATATAATTTTCCAAATACTATTGGTTTTCTTTATTAAATTTCAATTGAATACACTATAAATTATAATTATGACTTCTCTAATTTAATTAATTTAAAAATGTAACCTACACCACTTCTTATCCTATAAATAGTCATTCTCACATCTTCCTCTACAATATCTTATATCTTTATTATTTTCTTTGTTTTTTTAAAAAAGTTTCTTGCATGGGTGAATTCTCAACTAAGATGTCATTGTAAGAGTTTGATTAAATATTTGGTTTAAACTTTTGTTTTCAATTTTATTTATTTTATTGTTTATATGTATTTTTCAATTCTTCATTGTTTATTTTTATATTTTTAAATGTAATACATATGTATAATAATATTTTATGGTTATAAGAAAATAATTTTATTGATGGGATTCAAAAATATTGAATTCTGACAATTACACAATAACAAAATCAAGCTAAAGAAACCATTTTCGTTCTTTTACTTTGGATGTTTGTTTCTTTCTCACATATTCATGTATATTTATTTTAATTTTAAAAGTATGTAATTTTTTAACAAAATAAATTTTTGTTATGTAGTTATCAAACCAATTTTTAAGACATTATTTAAGAATAATAATCTTTATATTTAGTTTGTGATTCAACATTTAATAATACAAATAACATTATAATTTTTGTTAACTTTCAATTTTATACTTGATTTCCTATCTAAAAAACAATTTGATATTCAATTTTCTATCTATTATATATACTAAAAGGATGAAAAAATATAATTAAACCTAGAGATATAACTTAAATTAAAAGGAATATAAAAATATTTTTAAAAAATAAAATTATTTATTGGGAATTTTCAAGGTTTCACTCTCTACTTATTAGTCCATTTAGCATTTATTTTTTAATTATAATATATTTTTTAAATAAAATATTTATTTCTAATTAAACCAAATATCTAACACATTTAATCATATACTTTAATTCATACTTGAAATCCACATTTTACTACTCAATTGTAACTGAAATTATATAACTTGTGAATTGACTATTTGTTTGCTCCATTCAATTTCAATTAACACACTATAAATTATAATTATAACTCCTCTAATTTAATTATTTTAGAAATATAAATTACATCATATTTTATGCTATACATACCCATTCTTACATCCTCTTCCACCATATTTGATACCCTCAATATTTTCTTTGTTTTATTTTTAATGTTCTTGCATGGGTAGAAAGCTTAATTAAGATATCATTGTAAGAGCTTGATTATATATTTGGTTTAATTTTTTTTTCAATTCTATTTTTTCTTTGTTTTATTACTTCTTCATTTCTTCATTGTTTTCTTATATTGTTAAATATATAATACATATGTATAATAATTTTTTATGTCTATAATAAAATTACTTTATCGATGAGATTCAAAAATATTGATTTCCGACCATCAGTCCATCACACCTAAGAAAATCAAGTAAAAAAAAACCCATCTTCATTCTTTTATTTTAGATTTTTGTTTCTTTCTCACATATTCATGTATATTTATTATATTTTCAAAAGTATGTAATTATTGTAACAAAATAATTTTTTAATATAATTATCATACCAATTTGTAAGACATTGAAATAAATAAAATTTTATACACAAACAAAGGTAATGTGTATGTATATTTATAAGTTTACACACATATAGAGGTATCAAAATGAGCCGTAGCTCGCGAGCTAGCTCAGCTCAGCTCAGTTTTTTATGAGCATGAGTTCTATTTTTTAGGATCATTTAATAAATGAGCTATATGATCGAGCTCAATTTAGATTGCGAGTTATATGAGCGAGCTTTAATGAACATGAGCTACATCATGAGCTCCACTTTTCTAAAACTAAATATTATATATATTATATATATATATATATATATATATATATATATATATATATATATATTACAATATATAGAATATTTATAATATATTTTTTCCATTAAATAAACAAAATAGAAAATCTTAATGGAAAATCATAATTAAACAAAATTGGTTGTTTGGCTTTACAACGGACGACCATTGTTTTTTGCTAGCCTATGTCTTAGCATGAACTGTATATACAATGTATATTTACATTCAATTATTTTTAATTAATTTTAATTTAAGTTTTAACTTTTAGTAGTTGGTTTTATTTACGGTTTGAGAACTAAAATTTATTTTATTTCGATTTAGTTTTAATGTTTAATTTTTGCATTATGTTATCGGTTTTATTATGATTTTTTTAATAAAACTTGAATTATTGCCATTATAATATTTGTTTATATTAGCTCGCGAGTTTGCTCATCTAACTCGTGATCAACATGATCTGAGTTCGAGTTTACATATTGAAGCTCATATAATAAATGAGCTGAGCTGAGCTGGCTCATAAAATATCCGAGCTCGTCATGATCTGAGCCGAGCTGAGCGAGCTGGCTCATTTTGACACGTATGCACACATATTTGGATAAATTTCAACATTTTTAATGATTTTTTGATAAAGTTTGAAAAAGGGATAAATTTAAAAAGTGGTATTTGAAAAGGGGTGTTTTGAAAACTCTCTCAATACCATTTCTATTTTTATCATTAACATTATTACTTTTTTTTTTATCAAAAAATACTCAAAAGTACGGAAGAAAATTACAATCAAAATTGAACAATTAATCAACGAATAAATTCAAGAGATATGAATGTATGCTTGTATTGTATGATTTATAAAGTGTAAAAATGTCATAAACATTGAAATTTATTTCTTCCATTTTTTATAAATAATAAATAAAGTAAAATAAATAAACTTAATATATAACAACCCGCGCATATGAGTGGGACATTACCTAGTTTCTACAAAAGAAGTCATGCCGTATGGTGCGAAAATTTACCTAATATATAAAAAAGAAACTGATGAGTAACGTAAGTTCAAACCTGATTTTATTAAGGACCGACCACTTTTTTCCGCAAATAAATTACAAAACTAATTAGAAAAGCTTCCACTCACTCAAGAATAATTCAGGTAAAGCATATGATCAGATTCCCTTGAAATATTTTTAAAGGTTATACAATCCTCGTGCCATTGGTGATCTTTTTTATATATATATAAAGTGTTGTAACAACACCATTTAAAATTGAGTAAAAAGGAATTACAAAAACACGTTAAAAATCGAACACCCAATATTGTTCTCTTAGATATTTTTATATTCATGTTAATTAACTAGTCCAAGATATAAAAATCAGAAACCGAACCGAATAAGAGGAACCAAAACCATCACAAAACCAAGTGAATACTAAATTTAAGAACTGAAAGAACCAAAACCGAATAGTAACGAGCCTAAATTAATTGAAAACTTGAATCGAAAATCGAATGAAATATACAAAATACAGTTATACATTTAAAATATATTTGTTATTTTTTGACAGAATAACAAAAATATCAGAAAAAATTAAAATATCCGAAAAACCGAACAGAAAAATCGAAAAATACATAAATACCAAAACCGGAGCAAAAATAGCTGAAATATCCTAAACTTTTCGATTAGCACTGAAAAAAAACTACCCAAAAATAATTCGGTTTCTCATTCAAAATTCGAAACCACACCGGTTTTCTAAAAAACCTGATCATATACAGTATTAAACTGAGGATCCAAGAATTCCAAACCGAATTATACTGAATCGACACCAAACCGAATATCTAAAAGCCCATTAGTCCATTACTAATATGTATTAACTACCAGGAACAGAGAATTTCATTGTCTTTTCCTTACAGTCAGATTACACAACTTACAAGCACATATGGAAAAATAAAAGGTGAAATAAGTGTATCAGATCAAGGAATATATATTTCTGACATATAACAGTAACAAGGGGAATTTAGGAATAAACGAATAAAGAATAACATAAAACAGAGATGAGACGAGAGAGTGGTTTCTTAATCAGGGCCATGCAGCAAGAAGCAGAAGCAGGAGCAGCACATGCTCCATTTCTCTCTAACTCATCCACCTTTTTCTCAACATTGATTCTCTATAACATCATCCATCAATATATATAGTTATGTCTTTTCATCTATAGTTTGGTGCGTGGGAATATCGTGTTCTCCTGATATTTTCTCTTGTTCGGACGATGCTGACACATTTTGACATGTCCTTATGTATTATCTAATCTACCGACGATAAAAGATTTATGAGAATATATACAATAATATCATCTTAATAGCATCTATAGGGTTAAATAATTCTCTATTCTTAAAGTATTCTATAGTAAACATTTTATATATTCGTATTTTGACAAAATTACATTTTCTTACATTAAGATCTTGTTGTCTCATTCCACTGAGTATTTTTAAATATTCTAAAACAACTTAGTTAGTTTTTTTAATTATTTCTTTTGTTAAACTTATTTAATCTAACTTTTGTTTGTTTCTTTTGTATCTATAGTAATGTGCACTGGATAATGGGGTTACGGCCACTTTATTTGGAGATGATCAATTAAGCCTTAAAACCAGGACAAATATTTTCTTTTTGATTAGATTATATACATATTATGTATAAAATATAGTCCAACATTTCTTAAGAATTGTAATTTTTAAAACATTTGATACCATCATGAGTGACAATAAAAGAAAAATGATACCATCGCACTATATGTCTTGACCCAATGAGTAACACTTTTTGATAATAAATTTATAACTAAAAGAAACTTTAATCATGAAAATTTGTTACTATATGATATCCAAAATAGTTTAGCCAACTCATCATATATCTTCATTAACTTGTTTTGCATATATATAATAAACTCATTATATGTGTTTAAGTCATATATCTACAAAATACAAAATAAATATCACCTCAGAGAGAGATCACATCTTTATTTTGGGAAGGGTAAAGAAGAGATCACAAAAGGAAGTGATTCCAAAGGCATATCTCTCGTTCTGTCTAATCTTAAATTCTTTGTTTAAAACCCATCTCTCCATGCATTCATCTTGTTTTCTATATTTATTGGTTCATTTTGTAAGTTTTCTAAGTATTTACTCATCTCTCTATCTAGCCAAGTGAACGTACACATATATATATATATAGTCATAGAGAGAGCGTCAAAAGTAGAGAAATATGGGTTTACGCTCCTTCATATCAACCATCACATACTGTTTGTTCCTTCGCTATCCACACAAGAAGCCAAAACACAAAAGTGTGAACCATCTTAACTATTACCACACCATGCCAATGGCTCGTCCAACTTCTTTACAGGTATTCTCTTTCCCTTATATCTTCTATTCAACCACAATTTTCATGTCCCTATATAGTTTACGTACTCTCAAGTTAACCCTATGATCACACAATACTAGTTTTGGTAACTATAAGTAGTGGCGGATGCAGAAGTTTGTTAAGTTTGTGGTGATGCATAGTATTAGTAGAGGAGCACCAAGTACATGAGTTACTTATGCTGTTTTAACTTTGTAGATTCTATTAGGTGTTTATACAAGATAGCTAATCTCCTTAGCTATTATTATCGATCTATCGTTTTGTAAATAGATAAGAAAATAACTAGGCAAATCAGATTCTCACAAAGAAGAATATTTTTCCTTTGGCTGTTAAAAATTCACTTTTTTGATCTTGATTGATTCGTTAATGGGAATCGGACAAAACTGAAACAGAATGTCATAAGTTTGTCTCACTAGTGGATCGGTGTTACTCTGATTATAATAATATCCTTAGGGAGTTTGGTCGTTTAAATATATAATTGTTCTTCTAATTACTTTATATCCTTGATCAATCCATATATATTAGTACTAATTAGTTCGTAATATATGAATTTGTGCGTAACAGACAATAGACTTAAAAGTAAGGATGTGTTGCAGTGGATGTGAGAGGGTGGTCAAGCATGCCATTTACAAGCTAAGAGGTAACATCATAATTCAATGTTTAAATAAAAAAAGAAACTTATCAATTAGTACTTTTCATTTCCTTCTAGAAGTTGTTTTATACTATTATGTGATACTTTATACTATAAAATTGTGGCCATAAAAGAATATTCCATAAAATATATAATACAGATGAGCATCTTATAGAAAAGATAAAGTAACATTGTGAATAATTAATATAGTAACTAAACGGGCTTTGTGTTGGTGGTGGTGAAGGTGTGGACTCGGTGGAAGTGAACTTAGAGATGGAGAGAGTAACGGTGATTGGGTACGTAGAGAGGAAGAAGGTGCTCAAGGCAGTGAGAAGAGCTGGTAAGAGAGCTGAGTTCTGGCCGTATCCGGACATGCCTCGCTACTTCACTTCTTCCGAGCATTACTTCAAAGATACCACACGTGAGTTCAGGGAAAGCTACAATTACTATCGTCATGGTTATAACCTTAGCGACCGTCATGGTCATATCCATGTTACTAACCGTGGAGACGACAAAGTGAGCAACTTCTTCAATGACGATAACGTCCATGCATGTCGCCTTATGTGATATAGCTTTCTCTTGTGTAGGGGATTTACATGTATGGTCTATAGCGTTGATTAATTAGTTTTTATGCATAAGCATATGTAAACAAGAGAAATTAAAAAGAAACTTGTGTACATGTACAATGCTTTTATTAACAAGTGAAGCGAACCAAAAGAATCAATCTTCGGATGCATAGTGACTAAAGACATGCCTAAAATCAATCTCTTTTAAAGTGTGTTCAAATATTGGTACTCAAATTACTTCATCTTGTACTCAATACCGAGAAAAATAATTAAGTCTATTGAACATACTCATATCTACATTTTTTTTATTACGAGAACGTAAGTGTAATTTACTTTTTTTTTTTTTGCTAAATGGTAAATATTTCATTAAAAATGAAAATAGTTAAGGTTACAATCAAAAGATTAGAAACCTATACACATGATTCCATGGCAAAAAAGATTAAAACATGTAAGCATAAGACGGTAATTAAAACCAAGATTTCGGTGCATTTGCTCAACCAAGCAATGAAGCATGATTAATAGCATGATAAGATTGTTTAAGTAGCATGATTAATATGACAAACTTATAAAGAAGGACTAGCAGAGTACTTTCATTTTTGTTGTAGTTGAGAATTTAGGAGAGTTTTCTTTTTGTTTTCTTTTTGCCTATAAACTATTTTCGGTATGTTGTCTTTATAAGATTCTATTGGAACGTCTTTATGACAGAGAAACTTATTTTTTTTTTTGGGTTTCAACGATTTATCGAAACAGAGATTGGTTATGAAAAACTTATCAATAACTAATTTAATTGGCTACCAAATATGTTAAGAAATCATATTATTCCGATGTAAAACCACATAACTAGAAAAAAGTAATTATTCCTCACCGTCTCCCTTTTGGTCATATTAATATTTTTTCTTATATACCTTAATTTTTTACATTTGTGTCGTTGTTAATTTACTAGCTAATCAATGGAAGTCATGACGGTCACACATCATTCTGAAAAATAATTATTTTCATGCATCAATTACACCATCTCTATCCAAGGGTTGGAGTAAAAAATATTTTTGTGTAATATTAAATCATGACCGAGAAAGCTCAATAAATTAACTGAAAGAACAAGGAAATGTTTAAAACTAAGTCGATTTTGTAACAATCAAGGTCGAAAAATAGTTTGTAAAACTTAGCTGGGAAAACGGGCAAAAATGTCTGAACTAAAACCATAGGCAAGCTGGATGAACTAGCTAACTCAGGTTAGATAAGATAAACCAGATGAAAGACTCGCTAGCTCAACTGCTGCCCGACACTCAACTGAGCTCGGTGAACTAATCGAGTTCTAACCCAACAGACCAATAGTCTATCACTGGTGAACTATAGTACCTCTGTAGCTTAAGGTTGGAAATATGTTTTGGTTAAAATGTGTTACAACCAAAAGATTACCGACAAATAGTTGTCTCGGCCAAAGGGTGGTTATGGTCGAATGTTATCTATCGATCGGAAAATGCAACCTTTTGAAAATATAGTAGTTATCTATGGTTGTTTAAAAAACTCTTAAAATGTCATGTTTTTTTTTGACATGCTATACTTTTTAGGGAGAATTTCAAAAATACCCCTTTTCATATAACTCTTTTTAAAAATACCCCTTTTCAAACTTTATCAAAAAACCCACTAAAAATGTTGAAATTTATCCAAATATGTGTGTAAGCTAATAAATATATACACAAATCACCTTTATATGTGTATAAAACTTTATATACCTTTCATAAATAGCGTAAAAATAAATCATAAAAACCTTATAAAAACCATATAAAAACCGTATAAACCCTTTTAAAAACCTTTTAAAAACCTTATAAAACTTAAAAAAACGATTTAAAACTATTTAAAATATTTTAAAATATTTGTATCGAATCTCCCAGTAGTAGTTATTATTTAGAAGTACCTTACAAACTATATAAAACTTTATAATTTTTTATATTTAAAAATGGGTATTTTTGAAAATAGATAGATAAATGGGGTATTTTTAAAAAGGTTTACACCAAAAGGGATATTTCTCAAACATTCTCTACTTTTTAATAAACATTGTAATTTGATCAAATTCCAAGTTATTTTTCCAAGATGTCAGATTGATGGATGCTTGCGAATTGAAGATAGTTCTTTGTCAATACACATCCTCTAAAACATTAGTCCACAATCATTTTTTTTGGTATGGAGATAACATGAGAATTTGGCTATTTAGTAATATTATCCTAAGTAGATTCAAGTTTGTTTTGCCATAAATTTTTTTTTTTTTTTTTTTGCAAAACATTAAGAAGGGTTGTTGAACCAATGATATAAAGTTAAGTTAAATTCTCAAGTAGTAATTTTATGTATCTTAGTTTTTTTTTCTATTAATTTACCATTGAAAGTTTATCAGAATTCACTTTTAAGTGATACAATATACAAAGAATCTAAAATTTTATTTTTATTTTCCATGATAAAAATGATAGCCAATACTAAAATAGTAGTATTTGTGAATAGTAATAAAAACCGTGTTTGAATAATATCGGATTCTAAATTGAAAATATATATGTCAGAAATATATTTTTAAAATTTAGAAATGAGTCAACAAGTTTTTAAAATTTTTATTTATAATTATTTTAAAATATATAATTTGTATTCAATTCCTTAAGACAAAAGAAAGAGCAAAAAAAAAAAAATATCAGATGCAACTTACCAATGGACTCGTCATCTCTCTTAAAAAGTAAAACAAAACGACAAATATACGTCTGCTGCTTTTACAAAGCCATCACTAGTTTAGGAGTGAGTTCCCATTGAGGATGGCCTTAGCCTTTAGTCTTTAGAGTAGAGTTCACTCTTAAATCTTAAGTTTTTACATAATTAGTACACCTAATCACAACCATTGATCTCCCACCTCTCTCCTCTCTCAATTACTAATCAGTACTTTTTACCTTTTCTGCTTTCTATTGAACTTCTCTCAGATCCTTCTTCACTCTTCAGTGTTTCATCTCTCCTACCAAAAAGACTCATACCCTTCTTCAATTTCTTGCCTTTAATTCTTCTCTCTTAGTCCTCACCATTTTATGATTTCTGGGTGGTATCAAGAATGAGTTCTTGAAAAAAAGCAAATGGGTTTTTAGATAAACTCGTTTTGCTTTCTCTCTTCCCTTCTCCGATCTGGGTTTTGGTTTTAGTTTCAATACCCAAGTAGCAAAAAACTAGAAATTAGGGTTTTTAAGGTTTACATTCTTGGTGAATTGTGTTTAAAGGAAGAAACTTTAGTGGAGGAATAGTAATTCAGACATGATTCAGTTACTGTTTCTGGTTCTGTTTGCGGAAGGTGCGATTGCGTTCTTACTGTTGGTAAAGATTGGTCCTTTGAGGGAGCTTGTGATTAAAAGCCTTGACCAGATGAAGATGGGTAAAGGTCCTGCCACTGTGAAAACTATAGCTGGAACTATGTCTGTTATTCTCTTCTCTAATCTCATGAACATAGTCAAGATCCAGAACAAAGGTGCAAAGCTTGGGACTATGTCTCCTATGGATCAGGTTCTTTGGAGAACACACTTGCTTGAAGCTTCTTTGTTGGGTTAGTTTCTCTCTTTTTGGATTAAAATTGAACTAAGAGTGCTTTGTTGATTGATTTGTTGCCTTCTATATTAGTCTGTAGCTATGGTTTCTGACTAGAATTTGAAATCTTTGCTGGATTGTGTTCTGATGATCTAGCTGTTGTCCTTGGTTCATGGCTTTTAAGGCTAATTTAGATTTTACTGAGGCTATCTTGTAGCTAGAGGGATGGTCTGGAAAACACAAACTTGCAAGCTTAAGTTGAGTTAGCACTTATAAGGAAAGTTTATGTTGTGATTAGGAGTTTGTATACCAATTGAATTGATGGTGGCATCAATGTATAGAACATATCACATGTATGAGTGTCTCTATAGTTGTATTTGAGACTATGTTCTGTTAGTGTTCATTAGATTTGAGAAGCTGCCTTGGTTGTTGATAAATTTGGAACCTGAATACTGATAAACAGTAACAAATTATTGATCTTGATTTTTCGATTACGATCAAGAATATATGGCCAAAGTGCATTCACACATTATCTAGTTCCTAGCTTTATATAATTGGAACTGATTTGCTTATGTGTTAATTGGGTTGATGCATTCTCTAATGAATACTTCATTTAGTTTTTTAAAATCTTCCTTGGGGCTTATAAGAGTCTTGAAAGTGTAAGCTTTATAAAGTGTACATATTGACATCACATTTGAAGCTAAAAATACATGGTCAAAAAAGCATTCACACATTATCTAGCTCTTAGCTATATTCTTGGAACTGATTTGCTTACGTGGTGGTAATAGGGGTTGATGCATTCTCTTATGAATACTTCATTTGGGTTTTTGAAATCTTCATGTGGTCTTAATAGGGTCTTGGAAAGCGTCAAGCTTTATAAAGTGTACATAATGAAATTACATTTGAAGCTAAAAACCTTAATGATCGTTGCAGGAGTCGTATTATTTCTCGGCTTCATAATTGACAGAATGCATCATTACCTCAGCAAGCTAATCAATCTAAGAAGCAATGCTGGGTCATCGAAAGAAGAACTTGAACAGCTCGAGAAAGAAAGAACCGAACTGAAGGAGAAAGACGAGAAAGCATCAAAGGAAATCAAGAAGCTGCAAGAAAATTTGTCATCTATTTTAGAGAAACTTAAGAAAGCAGAGGCTGAGTCGAAAGAGAAAGATAAGAAACTCGAAACCGCTGAAACCCATGTCGAGGCACTCCAGAAACAGTCTGCAGAGCTGCTTCTAGAGTATGATAGATTGCTAGAAGATAACCAACATCTCCAAAGCCAAATCTTGGGGAAAACATAGAGCTGATGTTAAGATTGTATGTTGTCATTTAACAGTGATGATTGGTGAAGAAGAAGTGAGTTTATGGAGAGTATTGCAGTTGCATGAATTCTTGCAACATTTTTGCTTTTTAGGATATTGAAATGTCTTTTAAAACGGGTTCTTGTTTCTTCTTAACTCTTTGGTATGTTTTGTCGACAATTACATCAAAATTCATGTTGAGTATGACAAAGAAAGATAGACACATAAGTGAGTGTAGCCCAACATAAATTTGTATGTTTCGACATCACTATAGTTAGGTCTGTTTCTAAAACTGTGTATATTACACAAAATTGATAAAAGAGAGAGAGAAGACTGTTGAATTGAAGATGTTGAAAGAGAGTGGGCAAAGATTCTACGAAGGTTCTTTAAATTGGTAGACACATAAGTGAGTGTAAGAATGGTCTGGGCCTAAATAGCCCAACAAGGAAATTGCACTTATCAAGCCCAACAGCCCAACAGCCCAACAAGAATGTCTTCTTAATGAATCCATATATTATTGGTATGTTTTGGACATGTAACAGGGAGATGATACTTGAGTCAGCGACATCAAGAGTGGTGAATGACTCGTCACAGATTTGATGTTGTTGCTCTTCTTGATGGTGGTGGACATGGTTGTGTTTTTGGCGATCGTCCATGAATGGAAAGCTAATGTGTTCTGCTGGATACCTCATTTGCTTATGATCCTTCATCATTTCCATAAACCATGGTTGTTGGTTTTGATTGTGATTATGATTATGATTTCTAGGTGGCTCATAAACTTCAATATGTGGAGCTGTCGGGCGGTATAATTCTTGCTGCTGAATAGGAGGATTTAACGAAGCTGCGACAACCGCAGATGAGGAAGAAGAACCTACCTCATAAACCATAGTAGTTGGAGTAGTTGTAAACGCCAAATCCTCCATAATTTTATTCCCTTTAGAAGTTGTTGTCGGAGTAGAAGAAGATTCACCAATCTTTATACCAAAATATTGTAATATCTCGACCCTGCGATTAATATCTTTAAGATATTGATCAATCATATAACCTAAATCATTAAGATCCAAAATATTTAGATTAAACATTTCCATGTTTCCATTCAAACATTGGAACATGACTTCAGTCATCTCGAGCTCTCTATTGTCTTTGCCACGAATAAAGTTGTGTTAAAAAGATCCACGAATTTTACCGAACTAAACCAGCAAAAAGGAATATGTACACGCCTTTCAAAAAAAATATAAATACTAAATATGAATGGCATTATTGTGATGTAATTCCTCACTAAATAATGTCATGTTTTATAAAGTGGCTTCTCGATTAATAGTATGGATATTTATAAATCTCACCCTCTTGTTTATATTCCTAAATTAGAAGCTTACAATACATATGAAAATCTATATCTTAAAGACAAAACCAATTCATTAGTTATTGATGACAAAAAAAAAATACTTGGTAGCTCAGGTGGCCTTAACAAGTGGAACATTTCAAGGGTTAAGAATTTAGTGAAAGGGAACTGAAACTGATCCACAGAAATTTGGCAAGCGTAGTTCCGTTGTTACTTGTTAGCATTTTCTTTTCGGGTGACAAAAAATCTAACATCTCTTAATCCTCTAGGACAGTTGATTAACTTGATGTTGTTGTAACACTTAATGATTATATTAAGACATACTTAGATAATATATTGTAATCCAAACTTGATGGAAATATGACCTTACCACTATATTGAATTTAATGTTAAATTATATTCAAAAGAAAAAATAACGTTTGTAAAACTTGTGCAACTTTGGAATAGAAATTATAAGCTGAAAAATAATTAGAAAAAGCTAAATATTTCTTAAGAAAAAGATTAGCTTCTATATTGAAGCCAACGTTGAAAGCCCTCTGCATAACGCCGATCGCCCGACTTCATTATGGTGGAGAGTTGATCCTTGATGTGTTGATCAATCCACTTGATGAGCCTAGTAGTTGGATTCTGAGTGTCGCCCTGCATTCTACCATTTCTTTCTCTCCAAATTGTATAGACAACAGTTTGGAGAACGTATCTGCATAAGAAGCCATCTATACGATCTTGGTGATGTTGTGAAACATACACAATCAGATCTTCCCAGTTGGTCGTGTAGCTTGTCTTGAAAGTACCTTTAGCTACTGCTTCCCACACTGGTGAAGTATATTGACAGTCAAAAAAGAGGTGATTCCGGGTTTCTGAATTGTTCTTACAAAGGATGCAAACGTCGGTAGTGGCTCTGTTCCACCGGGACATACGAGCTCCAGTTGGTAGTCGATCTTGCACTGCTAACCACTATATTGACAATCCAAGGTGTCAAGACCTAGTGACTTTTAAAGTATATATTCTTTAGATTTCATGTGATTATCTCAGTGTTTTATGTGCCTCTTCTTGTCATCCCAACTCGAATATATATGAAAGCATAACTGTCTGTCTGTCTGTCTCCCAAACATGGACAGGTTTGTATATAACTACATTAAAACAACCCTTTTGAATATCCATTAATCTTATATACTCATGAGTCATGACTCTTTATATATAATGCTCAGATACTCCTCCAGGTTCTCAAAACGGATTAGCAAGTTCTAAACCGAAAAAGTAGCTTTTTCCTCATAATAGAAAATAATATATTTTTATTAGAAAATCAGAACAGACAAAACTTTAGCTTCATCTTCCATATATCATAGACTAGTTAACCATCCACATGTAATATTACTCGTCCTTGAAGAACACTTGTCCTCGTTCTTTTAATCAAAGGTTCCTTTATTTTGTTCATTGCTGCAAATATTTCAATTTTTTTATGTTATAGTTTGAATTAATGAATTCAAGTTATGAATGATATAGCAAGTAAACATAACCCCGTACAGTCCGAATCTTGTGTTATAACAAAACAGGTTACAAAACACATTATTGATATATGAATATATATTTCTTTATATAGTACATGATTAATGTCAATAGCTTATAATGATACAACTCACACAACAAACAAATGCCAATTAAAAAAAATCATGCATTCAAAGTCATACATAGATCACACTAAAATTATCTAAGCCGGAATGCGGAGATAGAGAGGGATTGGATTTTTAGTAACCGGTGGAGAATCCCATACTGAAAATGCACTTTCGGAATTCATCCACTTTTCGGTCATATCAGGATAATGACGATCCAACACATCCTTCAGACTCTCTGTTGTATTAACCCATTCAAATCCCTTCTTTGTATAAATCGTTTCATTGAATTCACTTGTGAAAAATCTATCCGCTTCTAATCGCCTGAGTTGTGTATAAATTAGTATCAGATTAATATTTTGTATTCTAGTATAGAGTGTTTTCCAATAGATTTTTGGTTTGGATATATAATAACCAATAACATACCTTGAGGCCATGAGGACGAAAATGTAAAAAGCAGTCTCACTAATAGCGAAGCCTTTGATTTTCTTCTCTGCCATAAGTCCAACCAGAAGATCAAGCTCCTCCACATCACCACCATACACATCATCCAACACTTCAATTGCTTCCACATCATCCGTTAGATCTTCCCACTTGGCTATCGGAATCATAAACATAGCTCTCCTAAAATCGTTGTACCGTGCCACATTCCTCTCCCTATCCCGGTAGACTAAAATAATCGACCAACAAAAATCCAATATCAAAACCAAAATGGTAAAAACAAAAAATGAATGGATCAGATCATATTGACTTACTCTCTAAAGCAGCTAAGTCAACATGATCTGGACGATCTTGGCCGTTTGGGTCTTGGGGAACAATATCTCTTAACCACATTGGATAGTTCATTAGTTCAAGTGCTCCACTTGCTTGGTGACCCATTGAGACCATTAGCTTAGTGAATCCAATCTGAGACATGTTTTGTTCTCCTTTACGACCAGTCAAATTTTCCATATATATCCTGAATCCAAAAGAAAAGAAAACAAAATCTCATAAAACCTAAAATCTTTGATTTAAGAGTTTCGAAATAGGAGAACTATAAATATATATAGTATCAAAGATAAAAAGTTATACTCTTCCATCAACGGTAGTGATTTATTAGTTCCAGGTACAACATTAATGTCACGCATTTGGAGTTGATCAGGCAAAAGAGAGTGCATTCGATACACGCTAGTGAATTCTTCGGTTAGGGAATATGGGACACCATGATTTTGCGGTTTTTTCAAACCCACGAGACCTCCCAAGATCGAACCGCCTACATGTCCGAATGAATCTTTAAACTTTTTCCCTAGTATTCCGTACCTAAACATTCACTAAAACTGTTAGATTGCAACATGCATGCACGTACTAGTAAAAAAAATCCCTATAGCCACTTTAATTTTCGTGACCCTGTAGTAAAAAAATCCATATAGCCACGAAATTGCCACAAATATTAAGGTTTAGCCACGAAAATTCAAGTGGCTATAGAGATTTTTTTTACTAGTCATGTGTAACAAGGTGATTATAAAAACAAATATGTTCTCTTCACCAATTTGCTCGCATTGCAGCTAGTAAAGTGTCGGTTTTGAGAAGTTGTACTGTCCAATCTATGGTGTGAATCTTTGCTATCACTGCTGAGGTCACTAGCCTCGCGTAGCGGTACAAATCCTCGTCTTCCAAATCACTATCCTCATCCTATATAAGTGAAATGATTTTTGTGAAATTAAGGTATTATAACCAAAAGAAAAAGAAAAAAACATAATTCACATTTCTTGTTATAATAAATAGAAACATATCATATTGAACCTTGAGGGCGTCGCACACAGCGTTGTGCTCTTTGATGAAGAGAGCTTGCAAGGCCGAGAGGCCGACCCAACTGTTACGAATGTCGCCAGAGATGGCTAAACCATCTTGGTCATGGAGAAGGAGACCTGTGTCGTTCGATATCTTAAGTTTCCCATCTTTGTAAGTTCTTACTCTCTCCAATGTTTTCGAGTTGCTTCCATAGATGACGCTCGAATCCCTAAAATATTAATCATTCTTTGAATTATTTAAGTCATCGCTCGTAGTATATTATTATTAATATATAATGTATGGTTTCTATGCATGGATATGTGTCTACGTCCATATTATGTCTATGCATATCATTGCTTAGGTTGGGTGTTTAGTCCCACGAGATTCTAACCAAATTTGGTATCGAAGCAAAACCAAATTACCAAATTGTTTTCAAGAAAGAAACAGTTGGTATATGTTTTTGAGACAAAACGAAGTCAAACAAAAATAAATACTATTTTTATTTCGAACTTTTCTTTTTATTCTGAAGGAGTCAAACTTTAGAACAACCAAAAATTGAACAAATGTCCATTTGATTTTCTAAACCAAATAATCCCACAAAATTAAATAATTTTTCATTTTTCTAAACCGATCCCAAAAGAATGTATGACATAATATTTGATCCAAAAAAAAAAAAACAAAATTGACGAATAAAAATTGATAGTATATTTTAATGGTTTTATTTGTTATTTTGATAAAATGGTTTATAATTATAAATATTATGTTAAAAGAAAAAAAAAATTACCACCAAGGTGTACGGATGTTTTGCGAACCGGTCTTGATTTCAAAGAAACCGGTAGGGACTTCTTTTGTCTTAAAGAACCTAAAGGACTTTAAAGGACACTGGTTCTCTACTTCTTTTGGAGCCACGACCTCGATCTATGTTACCAAATAATTAAATAACCAGAACAAACCAATTTAATTGTTTTGTTATTTAACATATATTATATAACTGTGTTAAACCGAAAACTAAATTGAAGAACCTGTTGAGTATCTTCAAGATGATCAATCCAATCATGGATCATGAATTGAATCCAAGAAGTTGCAATCATATTAAACTGTTTCCCTGTGTCTATAAACTTCCTCCTTCCTAATAGTCTTGTCGCCACCACCATAGGGTCTGGTCTCAATAACTTCAAAAAAAAAAAAAATCCAAATTAGTATTACGTTAAAATTATATCGAACGAGGAGATGTACGGGCTTAGGTCCAGAACCATATCGACTTATCTTTTTTACTATATGTAAGTAAAAAAATTTACCTTTGTTTTTTGATCAACGGGAGGACAGTTTCTTCCAAAGAAGCTATTTTGACTGCCGACGCCTTCATTAAACGGATCATTGAATTTTCCATCAGGAGTCCGGTACGGATAGTTAGCCGGATCAAACCGGGTTCCGGCCGGAGTTTGTCCGACGTTGAGAAGATTGTATTCTTGGTGAAGATGTCTACGTGCTTCAAGATAGGCTAAACCCAAGAACACTGGAAGCTTGTGCCATGGAACCATTTTATCCACTGCATGGACGATCTACACCATATAAAACACACAAAAAATTTATTAAATTTTTACTCAATTCATAACAATTTAAAGTTAAGTTTATATCTTACAAGAAGTAAGAAACGATCGAGGAGGGACATTTTTGAATAGATCTCACGGAAGTCTTCGTGGATGAATTTAAGCAAAATAGAAGAGATTAAAGAAGTGATTACTTCCATCCTTTTAAACCTTTTTTTGGAGTTGTTGTAAAGTATTACAAGAGAAATGTTTTAATAGATTTGTGATGATTTTGAGAAAACCTTGCTATTTATAAGCATAAACCTTGAAAAAGAGAAGACTATTCAAATGCATATACTAATTAAAAATCAAATTAAATTTTTTTCCTAAAGTATGATTTGTCTTATCATCATTATTTTCTTGTTATTTTGATAATGTGACTCATTAACTTTGTATCATTGTGGTTTATTATATATGCCACTCCAGGATAAAAATTCCAAGTTTTACACTGGAAAATTAGACAAATGGTTATCTAAAAAGTTTTAAGTTCAACTCGAATTAGTGTGAACCCTTTCCAAAAAGACATGTGCGATGTTGATCACTTGATCCAAAACGACCTATATCGTTTTAGTAATAGAGTTTGACATATAGACTTTGAAGAAACTACCAAATGCATTGTTGTGAATTCGAGTAAAAATATGAATTTAACCTTATATAAAGCATAAACAAGAACAACACATTTTCCTATATTGTTTTGATTAATAAATTTTACATTTCAACTATATAAAAAACAAGACTAACCCTAGTCGTCACGCTCGTGAGTCGTGACACATATCATGCACTGTTGGATCTAACGCGAATAAGCTCGTGACACATATCATGCACTGTTGGGTTAATTTTATTAAACTCAACATACCACTGTTAGCTCTTAGTTGGGAACACTTTTAGCCAAATACAATCATATCTTAAAGATCCATTAAAATAAATTTTATTCAGTAGTACACCCATCATCATCGATCAAGCTGGTAGTGGTAGGTGTTAGGATTTATTATTTTAGTTTTTTCGTGGAGAAAATAGATAAGAAAACGTCAGGATCTTTGATTCTTAGATATGTACACGTTTGTTTTTTTTAATAATATATATAGAGAAACCAAGTCAAAACGTCTTGAATGAAATGTTAAAAAATAATTCCATTTCTGTTAATACCCGTGCATGTTACTCAAAATTAATAGTATAAAATGTGTAAAACTATATAATACATTTTAACGTCACAAAACACAAAGATAAGTTGACAAAACTAAATCAATATCTACTCTCTTTTTTTCCATTTCTCGATCGGTTGCTTAATTTGAACGACTTAAACAGGTAGAGAATTCCAAATTTAGAAGTTTAGGATTTATTGTTTTCATAATAACAAAAGTCATACAAGTAAACTCTTCGACTAGGGTTCTTTTATATATATTAGTATGTTATCAATCAGGATTATCATAATCAATATTTTATTGACAAGTATATGGCGTCATAGCTATTTGAATATGAAAACTTCAAAATCACATGAAACGGGGCCAAAACGAAAAGGGTAGTAATACTAATATGAGATGGTACTCGATTAAGATATCTCATTGTAGATAATAGAGTTTTATGAATTGAAACCAAATTATACGAGATGGATTTAGTTCATTTTTATAATAATATACGTCTTAATTGGATTTGATCCTATAAAAAACTGACAAATAATTAAAATTAGTAGGAAATTTGTCTTGTGTATATAAGCTGGCCTTACTCTATTCTAATTTTCTTATTGATTTTAACCCAAAAAAAACAAATGTATTGATATATAATCGAAATATACTGAATATTTTGGGATTAGATGTAAATATTTTGGACAAAGAAATAAAGAGAGGTGTGGTTTGGTACATCAAGAATTCTATAAAAGGCCAAGAAGGAAGCTGAACAAGCGATCCTATAAAAAGCAGAACCGATCGAGACGAGTGATCATGGACATGGTAACCATTCTTACACGACTTACTCAAAATCCAAATCCTATTAACCTAATCATGGTGGTACACTAATTTGTACACGCTTTGCCCTTATCCAAATCCTAATTAAGAACCTCTAAATCATGATGCTACACTAGTTTGAAATTTTAATAAGATGTTTAACCAATAAGATGTTACTTTGATTTGAAACAAGTTTATAAATTTTATTTACTATTATTGAATATCTAATCACAAATTTGTTATTTCTACTATGACTTTTCTGTGTAAACATTTACTACTCACTAAGTTTCTTAATTACATTTTTTTTTTGCAAAACAGTTTGCAAATTTTATAAATAATCAATGGGCTATTTCCGGAATTAAATCCATACAAATCTTCTGAAGAACCAAATCAAACTAAACTATAAAAGCAAAATATATCTAAATTCACAAAACCAAATTAAACCGGTCGCAAAAAAAAAAATCCTAGCTATTCTTCAATCGGTGAATTTGATCGAAATCGCTGTCCATCAGAATTGTGAATACTCTCCGAATATATGTTGTTGTTTAATTTTGAAAACAACAAACTCTTTTTTTACCAAAAAAAAAATAGAAAACATGAAACTCTTTTTACAATATTTTCCTTGGTAATTATCTTTTCTAAACTTATATTTTATTTTAAATACATGACTAATGCATAATGACAATTATAAATAAATAAATACATATAATATTTTTTTATTTGATATCGATCTTTTTTATTATATGTCCACTGAAACAACTAGTCCTTGATTCGGCCCACGTAGAGACTGACTAGTGAACTACAAAACTCCAAGGCGCGTGACATTCACTTATGAAACGGCGGCGCGTCCCTCTCGCTATCAAAATCGATAGAGCATTTAGTAGAAACCGGCAATGAAGGCGCGGCGAACCTCATCGAGTAATCCCGGTACGGAAACTCGTCGTCAAAATGTCCGGTTAGTTTCCCGTCATCGAAATTCAACGAGTAGCTCAACGGATCGTACCGGAATTTACAGTGATCCGACGACCGGTTACTGTTTCCACCTCCTCCGCCGCCGCCGCAGCCGCAGCAGTGGTTTCGTCCGAATCGTCGGATAAAAGTCTTCCACCTAGGACCAGCGACTAGCTCCGACCACTCTCTCATCTTCCGCCACCCTCGAATCCACCACCGTTGATCAGGCTCCACGGCTCTGATCCGTGACCACCACACAGATCCGCCGTGATTCGACGGCTGAGATGAGGCGAGGCATGGCATAAGGAAACAACAACCTCTCTTCGCGAACAATGCTTCGTGCATATCGTCGGTGGCGTCTGTTTCAGAGATCGGCGACGGTTCCGATCTCATTCTCAGTGATTCTGATCTTATCGCCTTCTCAGATCTTCGTTCCTCTTCTCATAGGCTAAACCCTAATTTACTCTCTCTCTCTCTCTCTCTCTCGCACCAAATCAACAACGCGTCTCTTTGAGCTGTTTACTAAAACAGAGAAGCAAATGCCGTAACCGCCAAATACTGGTTCTCATTAAACCGGTTTGGTTTTATATTATAACCGGGTAATTCAGCTACATTAAACCGAAAATAAATTGGTCTAGTTCTCTCTAGCATAAAATCGTTTGGTTATGGATGTACAATCTATTAAACCGATTTGGTTCTATGTTATAACCGAGAATTTTAGCTGTTTTATTATTTGTTAGTGATATCTTAAACCGGAATTAAATTGGTCCGGTTAATCTATAGCACTAAATTGGTTTGGTTTCTCAAATAGCTGACATAGCCAACTCCAAATGGATGTATAATCTTAATCTAGTATCCTTCTTGGAACAGATTCATTGTAGGTGAATGTTTTAACCAAAGTCACCTAATCCTTTTTTATATATATACAGTATATAGTTCAGTATTTAAATTGTAAATAAAGTTTAAAAATAATAATTATCAAAATCATATGTTGACTCAATTTTGTGTGTATTACAAATAAATATAAATTCAATTTCAATAACTAAATCATAGACGACTTTGATTACCAAAAAAAACTATAAATTAGGAACTTTTGGTCATATTTCTTTTCGTTAATTAACATAGTTGAATATTGTCTTACCTATGGACTTTTGAAGTATTGACAATCCAAGGAATCAAGACCTACTAATTTTTGAAGTATTCTATATATTCATGGGGGAAAATGTCATTTATATCATGAAATTTCAAATTTTGGTCATTTAAATCACGAATTTTCTATGTGGCCATTTAAAACATGAATTTTTTGTGGACTTAATTTTTAAAACATCATCTTTCGTTAACTAAGTCAAATTGAACATCATATACAAAAATTTGTTAACAAAACAACTAACAAACATTTAGTCAACACTAATCCATCTCTATTAGTAAGAGATGACATCGTTTAAAACTAAAACAAAGTGAGTATCTTAGTGTTTTATATGCCTCTTCTCGTCATCCCAAATTGATTATGAAACCATAATTGTTTCCCAAACGTAGATAGGGTTCTAATTATCACAGAAAAAAAAAACACAATATTTATAATCTTGTCCTCTTGAATTATAGAAACTTACAATATACATGATATGTTGCATCTTGAATGTTATATATGTCAAATATAGCCGTGTAGGCATGTCGGCTGTTTCAAAATCTTTTCAAGAATAGCTTCATGTACTTATGTTATTTATTTCTTGTTTATGGACTATGAACTTTAGAATACAGTTTTGGTTTTGAATTTCTTTGTTAATATTTTCTTTATGTAAATTTAAGTTTTTTTTTCTGACGACCAAATCTTTTGAAAAGCCCATTATAGACAATTGAAAAAAGTACAAATTTGAGGCCCATTAACACATTTGCATTACATATAAGATAAAAGTAAAATAAAACAAGACGTGGCAAATTTAGAGCAAATCCACGTTTAGCTATGATATCATCATCGACTTAACTTAGTTTCTTACCGGAATCTTGCTTCACCATCCGGAGTTTTAATATTTTTCGTAGATTTCTACTCATACTAGCCTTCAATTTGTACTCTTCACCTTCTGCAAACATCACCAGAAGTGTTGAATGGGATTTCTTTGTTTACCAGAACGGAAACTCAGTTGGCGGAATGGAATATTCATCAGAGAACTATCAAACTCGACTGGAACTCCAATTCTTCATACTTCGATTCTTTCAAACTACATCATCTTTAAACTAATCGGGCAACAAGAACCGTCACTCATAACTTTTCATCTATAGAAGTGGAGATATATCATCAGTTGGACGAAAATCCAACCACTTAATACACAAAGATCCAACAACCTTCCAGATTTTAACACTTCTTCAATGAAAAGTGCTAACATGAAGAACAAGCAAAAGGTTTCAAAAAACCGACACGATGTCGAAGATGTAAAACCGACAAAACGTCGGAGAACTAAAATTCGGACAAACCGAACTAAAATTCAGGATAATTAGTATTTCCAAATTTTTAAGGATAATAATAATTATTTAGGGTGCAAAATAAATAAATAAATAATTAGTAAAAATCTAAATGAATTGATAGTTTAGTTTTCACTCGTCAGCAATTGAAGTGATGTCCTGCATGTGACCTTGAATGTCAATATTGCTTGACTATGGTGATCCTCCATTAGCAGAAGCAGCAAATGTGTTAGCTGATGCATTAGATAAACAGGCTCAGTTGAGATATTCTTCTCCTTATGTTGTTTCTCGGAGCTCCTAGATGTATATCATATTAACTCTATAAACTTTTTACTCTTTACTATGTTAATGGAAATTTGGTCGACTAAAAAAAGAAAAATTCTGAACCGAACCCAAACGTATAATAACATTCAAATGAAGATTTAAACCCAAAAAAATAAAACAGAGAAACGCCGTCTGTGGGGATCGAACCCACGGCCACGTGGTTAAAAGCCACGCGCTCTACCACTGAGCTAAGACGGCTTCTGTTCATTATCCTTAATTAAATTGATTTAATCACGTATTAACTTTAAGAGTGAAGACAATTGAGGATTAAACAAATCTTAAGTTGCTTGCTACGAAATTTGTCGGAAAAGGCATTCTTCATCATCGTCATGTCTGTAAATTGGAAGATTCATTATCTTCATCATTCGCAAATTACGGATCATTATTTTCATTTTAAGTCTTCTACCAAATTCGCTTTCGAATTCATGATTTTAAGCAAAATTTGGTTTATGACCAACTCTGTTTCTAGCTCCGGTCACTTGCCAAGATGATTTATCAAAAGAAAATAAAAGAATTTGTTTTCTTGTCCCCCTTTGCTTCTACAAGGTTTCATCAAGAGAATCAAGATTGCTCTTCTTGTCTCACTCTCTCTCTATGTTATAAGGTTACAACTTAATCTCAAAACTCATTAACTACTTTGTTGTCTCTTGAGATACAGATAGAGAAAGAAAAGTCGAATGCAGCATCTTTCTGATACTCTTTCTGATGTATCATCATGCACCTTAGCTCGACGCTTGGACTACCCACGTTTAGATTCCAGAGCAAGAAGTATCTTCTTCCTAGGTCCCTGAAAAAAGAACACACACCTTGTAAAAGATTTCAAACAGAGAACTTGAATCCAAACATGGTGATGATAGATGCATGATCTTGTTATGAATGGAGATAAACTAAGGCAATGATATACTGATTTTACCATTGGTATGAGTAAAGCTTTGAGGTCATCATCTGTCATATGCATTAAAGCATCCATATCAACCTAGAAACAAAGATGGAAATCGATAAGGATCCTTGTACATTTATAGATGGCATCAAATACAAGAACGCACAAATTACTCTAAAGAGTAAATACATTCACATACTTCTTCCACTTGAAATGAGGTCGAATACTTCTCGAGACCCAACGATTCCAGGAAGCTATCAACCGAATAATCAATCTGCAACAAAAGATAACAAACTGAGAACTAAAACTTGTGAAACATCCATACACTCAGTAGAGTCATTGCACCTAAATTTGGAGAGAATGAATTATATATTACCTGATCTGATTTCTTCTTCATTGCTCTGTTCGGAACCGTTCTAGTCTCAGATTTGGTTACACCTGCAACCTTCCTTACGACAGGTCTAGCAGCCGCCTCCCTTCTAGTTTTTGGCAAATTACTCTTCCTAGATTGTGTATTCACAGTCCCAGATAGCCTATTCCGTAGATCACCAACGCTTAAACTAAACACTCGTCCGAGTCCATCACTTTGCAAGCCATGATGTTTCTTTTGGAGCTTCAAACGGAGATCTCTCGGGTCAATTCTGCGATCTTAGCAAGTCAATACAACAGAGTCAACAACCAAACATGTTGTAAAACTTAAATCTAAGCAAGCAAAAGACAAGTAACCAGCTAAACAACATACTTGAAACCCGAGGCTCGTCGTCATCGTCTTCGAAAAGATCATGCTCCCACTTATCATCATCTGGCCTTCCTCTGAAAACATTCATCAAATTACATTCATATGTGTGATATGCTATTTCAACTATACAGTAAGAGACATAATCCCAAAATCACCCTAAAAATCAAACATACAGGGTTTAAAATTCTATGAACTGTTTGAAAAATTGTTAAGAGTAGCAACGCAATTAGAGAATCAATTAGTCATCTCTCTATACAAAACCAAAGAGGAGATTCAAAAGAAGAACTTAAAGGGAGAGTGAGAAATTAAAAGTTTCGTAACCTCTTCTTAGTGACTTGTTTGCCGCCAGAAGCGATGAGACCGGAACCGCCATTGAGACGGCTCTTTAACGTTTTGCTGATTCCAGATTCACCAACCAGTCGATCAGAATACATATCGAAAGAGTGAAATAACAAAAACTGGAACCCTAAACCCTAAATCAGGGAAATCTAAGTGAATCAAGAGGGAGAAGAACGAAAAAATAGAACTTCAGCTTCAATTTATAAAACCCTAATCTGAATCAGGAAATCACAGAAACAAAGAGGTGAAATCTCGAACTCGAACGAAAAAGAAAAAGAGAAAACAAAATAAGAGAACTTGTAGTTCGACTCAGAGTTTCACAGTTTCACTATTCGCAGTATCAGACATTATCGGGTCGAATCGGGTTTACCCATTAAACACAATCAGGTCAAACGAGTCGGGCTGTATATATATTTTATTATTTATTTATACTAACATTTTTTTTAAATAGGTGGGAAAAATGTTATTTAACTCCCGAACTTAATAAATTTTAGTAATTTTAATCTTCGATTTTTATTGTGGCCATTAAAATTATAGATTTTTCGTTAATATTATTTTTAAATCACCATCTTTTATTGACTGAGCCAGATTGAACATGTCGACAAATCAAATCCTCTAACAGAATAGTTAACAGCTATTTCTATTTAGGATCGTTACTCGATATCTGTTAAGTCGAAAAATAAGAATCACAATCACAAGCGATGTCGTGTTGCCTTAAACGAAATGGCTAAATCCCCAAATCGATGTCGCTTGTCCTTGTGATTCTCACTTTTTCGTTTATCTTAATATCTTATAGTAAGTAATAGCTAAAGAATACTATTGTATTAAGAATATCGAAAAAATTGAACATAATAAGCGCAAAATCTCATATATATACATATATATATATATATATAAACTTATAAATATACACACATATTATATTTATATATGTATACAATATTATATATTTTCATTAGGGGTGTCAAAATGGATAAACCAACCCAAACCAACTCATAATCCAATGTGTTTAGACTTAAATGGTTTATGAGTTGATCCAAACCATTTGTTAAATGGTTTGGATCAACCCATTAATCCAATTATTTGTTGGTTATAATGGTTAAATAGGTTGAATCATGATAATAAAACAACAAATTAATATTATTAGATATTATTAATATATTATCAAAATTTATTATTAATAACAATATAATATCACATTTGGCGGGAACATTACAAAATCAAGTTTTTGGCGGAAAAATTACAAAATTACGTTTTTGGCAGGAAAACTCACGTTTTTAACGGAAAACATGGAATCTCGTTTTTGGCAGAAAAACATGGAATCCCGTTTTTGGCGGGAAAAATATGGAATCCCATTTTTGGCGGAGAAATCATGTTTTTGGCGGGGAAAAATCATGTTTTTGGCGGGGAAAAATCATGTTTTTGGCGGGGAAATCACAAATTACGTTTTTGGTGGGAAAAAATCACTTTTTGGCGGGAAACATGGAATCCCGTTTTTGGCGGGAAAATATAGAATCATGTTTTTGGCAGGAAAATAAAATCACTATTTTGGCGGAAAAATATGGAATCACGTTTTTGGCGGGACATTTTAGGTTATGAAAGCTGATAAAAGAAATCTAATTAAATTAGGCATGTGGTTTAATAAAATCGGTTTAGACATTTGATTTGGTTATATTTGGTTTATCTATTTGATTTAAGATTGTTCAATTTTTATTGGTTTGGTTATGGATAACTCATTAAACGATTTCAGTCCAAACCATTATAACCGAACTCACTAAACTCATTAACCCATTTAACCCATTAATCCATTAATACCCAAAACTTCAACTCATTAAGTCATGGATTGGATTGGTTTGGGTTGAAACATTAAATTCAACCCATTTTGACACCCCTATCTTTCATAAATATCTTATAAAAACCTTTTAAAACCTTATAAACCTTTCAAAAATGATTTAAAACTTTTTAAAACATTATAAATTATTTGGATCGAATATCCCAGTAGTAGTTATTATCTAGAAATACCATATAAACCATATAAAACTTTATAATTTTTCGTAATTAAATAGGTGTTTTTTGAAAATGGATAGACAAAAAAGGTATTTTTGAAAAGGGGTACACCAAATGGCAAAAGAGGTATTTATAAAAAAAAAATCAAACTAATTAGGAACCTAAACAGATTAGCATGTTTTTATAAGTTAAAATATATATATAAAAAATATCTTAGACAGATATTATTTTTAACATAATAAATTTGATATATATTTCGTAAATCTCGCGTACTGGATAGATAAGTGTAATGGAATTTTTGTTGCTGGAGACCAAAAGTAGTGTGAAAACGCTGTATTATATGGTTACTAGTTTAGTACCCGTCCGATGGACGGGTTATCTATATTTAAAATTAAATTAAAATTAAAATTTATTATAACTTATAAAAAAATAATTTCAAATTTTTGTTTAAAAAAAATAAGAGAAATTAATTTCATTTGGTAAGAGATTTATTTGGTTTGAAGTATCAAATAAATGTATATATATCTATATATATAAAGTTAACTTTTTCTCTTTTCTCCTTAAGCCACATCATCATCCACCTCATTTTATTATTTAATTTTTAAAATTAATTATACCATTTTATCATTTAATTTTAATATTTAAACCTATGTAAATAAGTTTTTCAAAAAAGAATATGAAAGGTCTTTTTTAATTATATATTATAAAACTAAAAAGATAATTGATTAAAAGTTAAAAAACTTACTAATTATCGATTATACTAACAAATATATAAATAATAGATTATAGTTTTTAGTGAATGTTTAAAATATATATATGATTATATTTAGACAATGTAAACCTAAATATAATGGGATTTAACGGGAATAGAACAAAAAGTAAGAAATTTTGAGAGTATAAATCTATCTAATTTATGTCTCAAAAAAGTTTCTAACATAAATGAGATAGGTCGGACCGAAACATGAATTATCATTTTTTTATTAACATATAAAAAGGTAAAAATAAAAATAATATTTCTTTAAAAGTTTCCAATATGAATTTAACTATTTTTTCCAAAACAATACATATGTTAAACTAATAAACAAAATAAAAAATTAACTATATTTCATAAAATTGAAAATTAAAATAAAAAACATTATTAAATAAAATAAACTAAGTATAAAGTAAATTATACTAATATGTTAAATTTAAAAATTGTTCCATATGAAAAACAAAAAAAAATATATAAAACAAAAATCAGAAAATATATATAATAGTATATAATTGATCATTAGGAGATATAAAGTACGAAAAATCCAAAAAAGGATAACTTAAAACATAAAATAATCAATTATGACAATATATAAAGAGATAATGTAAACAATTAAAAATACAACAATCCGCCCGAAACCCACAAATCATGTTCAAATTTCATGCCAACATATAAAAGAACATATAAAAGGGCCCAAAATATTGACATCTAGATCTATATTTGGTAAAAACCCTAATAGCACACGTTTCTCAATGATTCTCAACCGCACTTCCATTTACGCCCACACTTAATACTAATTAACACTTAATTTCTCAACAACTAATTAACCTAAAACTCAATAGTTTTTCTATACAAACACAATTTAAGTTTTAAAAAAGTAAAATATGGTATAATGAAAAAAATAAGTAAGAAATAAAATACGAACCAATTACTCATAAATAACATAATAAACTCCCGCGCTACGCAACCGACTAGTATATATATATATATATATATACATATATATATCTCTTAACATTCCATATTAAACGTTAATTATAAAAATCTAGTAATGTCAAATTGACAATCACCAAAACATTTGGGAGCTACAGTAAAACCTCTATAAATTAATAACATTGGGACCATGAAAATCTATTAATTTATAGAGGTTTTAATTTATTGATAAATTAATTATTATTAATTTATAGAGAGATTTTCCTAATTTGGAAAGTTTTTCCAAAAAAATTTTAAAATAAAATCTAACAAAAACTAAAGTGTCTATATATACATATATTTTGAAATTTTACCTAATTATTAATTTATAATATTGATGGGACTATATATTTACAAAGGATTTTCAAAGGTCCGAGTAGGGACCAGAGAAATTTATTAATTTATAGAGAATATTAATTTATCGAGTATTAATTTATAGAGGTTATATTTGGGAGCTATTCACCATTACTCATAATATTGCTAAAATATTTTTAAAATTATTAATTTAGCAATTATCCTCTAAAACATGATTATACTATTTTGTAAAAAAATTTATTTCTTAACTTTAAAATTTCAAAAAATCATTCTCAGACTATGAAAATTAATTAATTATTATTTAATATGATGGTAAAGTTCTTTCAAATTAACACCAATCTAAAATATGATGTTAAATACAAATATAGTCATTTGTAAATAAATTCATATAAACAACGCAAATAAACATAAAGATTCTAAAATAAATTATAGCACCGTTAAGAAAAATATTAAAAAATCTTTCAAATACGAATTATAAAAAACTACATATTTTCTTTAAAAATATTTTAAATTACTATATTACGATTTATATTGAAGTTTGTTTAATTTAAGCTAAAAATATTATTTTTGAAATTTTTTTATTCACTCTTATGTTTTAGACAATGAAATTTCTCAATGGCATAATACATTCATACATAAATTAAAAATTAAACAAATATAACATATTATAAAATAAAAATCATGAATAAAATTATGTATTTAGTTAAACTCAAAATCTAATTTATTTGTAAACTGTAAATCATAATTCTCCTTTATGAACCCAAACTGATAAATAACCTTGTTTAATTGTAAAACCTAAATCTCACTGCTCTTTAAAAAAACCAAACCGATAAATAACCTCGTTTAATTATAAAATCTAAACTATAATGCAGATTTATAAACTCAACATATAACCCTTATAATTGTAAAACCTACAAATGGCAAAACCAAAAATTAGGTTAATAGTTGAAAGAGAATTTTTGAGAAATACCCCTTTTGGTGTACCCCTTTTTAAAAATACACCAATTTCTATCTATTTTAAAAATATCCCTTTTCAAATATGAAAAATTGTAAACTTTTATATAGTTTATAAGGTACATCTAGATCATCATTACTATTGGGAGACTCAATACAAATATTTATAAAGTTTTAAAAAGGTTCTAAACGGTATTTATAAGACTTTTATAAGGTTTTTATAAGGTTTAAAAAGTTTTCATATGTTTTTTAAATAATTTTAAAACGTTTTTAAAAGGTATTTATATGGTATTTAAATTTACACACATAG